GTTCTCCTATACCATTGAGTAGTCTCTCCCTTCTCTTTACATGGTTATTCTCTTTCAGTGAGTAAACCTGAATTTCGAAGGTTCTGGGGTCTAAGTCACTGTCTAATTGCACACAGCTTCACTGCTTTGTTAGCACAACCACCAGCTAATGGCAGCCCTGCCTGGTACAGGAGGCTCCAAGATCCCGCCAAGGGGCTGGCTGAGGAAGACATGATCAACGATAAGGAAAGCAGGGAATATTTTGAAGCAAAAGAAACAAGAATTGCCAGTTATTTTAGATTCAGAAAGTTAAGGAATGAGTTATGCCTTAGATACGTTATTAAGAATAAAATGCTCACGAACGATCTCTTCTGGGGTGTCCCCAACCACATCAAACTCAGCATGTCTGAAACCAAACCCATGATCTTTTCCCAACAAATTATGATTTTTCTCCTAGGCAGTTCTGTGCAATGAATGAATAGTCCTGCTGTCCACCCAGTTTCCTGAGCTTGAAACCTGGAAGGGAGTCATCGCTGACCCCTCCTTCCCACTGCCCCACCTGCCATCAGTTCTGGAGCCGTCTCCTTGGGCTTGTTCCACAACTCACAGTTTCATTCCCTTTCACTTCCCATTGATGCTCAGGCCATCATCATGGCTCCCTCACCTGCACATCCTCTTACCTGGTCTCTCGGCTCCAGGACTGCACACCCCCAGCCCGTTTTCTAATCAGAGCTGCTCACCAGGTCCACCATAAGGGACTTACAGGTGAGCCAAGATGGCCAGCCTCTCAGTCCCCAACGTGGCCAGGAAAAGCCCACTGCATTCATCCCAGTGTGTTGCACAAATACCCCTTGTCTGCATGTGTCTCGAAGTGAGAAGAGTTGGAAGCACTAGGCTACACAATGAACAATGTCTATTCCAAAACTGCTGGAAGGTCAGATCTGGGCTTCAGTCCAACTCAAACCTGGGCGATGTAGTTTGCAAAGTGTGTCTAGTGACTGGGCTCTAATTGTGTTCATGCATTTAGGGGACCCACAAGATGTATTGAAGACTCGAACCAGGGTCATAATGATGGGAGCAAAAGGGAGTCAAGAGATATTTTGCAAATAGAATTAACCTGGAGAAGGAGGTGTCAATGAGGGCTCTGAGATTTCAAGTATCAATTTCTGGGAAGATGAGGATGACATATAAAAAGTTTGGGCACGAAAGAGAAAGTGGCATTTGGGGATGAGTTTGGGACTAGGGGCTAGCCTTCATAAACTGGGTTTGTAGACTGTGGCTTTTAAAATTCGTGATGTGCATTTCTTTAATGATTAGTGATGCTGAGCATCCTTTCATGTGTTTGCTGGCAATCTGTTTATCTTCACTGCAGAAATGTCTATGTAGGTCTTCTGCCCATTTTTGGATTTGGTTGTTTGTTTTTTGATATTGAGCTGCATGAGCTGCTTGTATATTTTGGAGATTAGTCCTTTGTCAGTTACGTCATTTGCAAATATTCTCTCCCATTCTGAGGGTTGTCTTTTCGTCTTGTTTATGGTTTCCTTTGCTGTGCAAAGGCTTTTAAGTTTCATTAGGTCCCATTTGTTTATTTTTATTTCCACTTCTCTAGGGGGTGGGTCAAAAAGGATCTTGCTGTGATTTATATCATAGAGTGTTCTGCCTATGTTTTCCTCTAAGAGTTTTATAGTGTCTGGCCTTACATTTAGGTCTTTAATCCATTTTGAGTTTATTTTTGTATATGGTGTCGGGGAGTGTTCTAATTTCATTCTTTTACATGTAGCTGTCCAGCACCACTTATTGAAGAGGATGTCTTTTCTCCATTGTATATTCTTGCCTCCTTTATCAAAGATAAGGTAACCATATATGCGTGGGTTTATCTCTGGGCTTTCTATCCTGTTCCATTGATCTGTATTTCTGTTTTTGTGCCAGTACCATACTGTCTTGGTTACTGTAGCTTTGTGGTCTGAATGAGGTATCACCTCACACCAGTCAGAATGGCCATCATAAAATATCTACAAATAATAAATACTGGAGAGGGTGTGGAGAAAAGGGAACCCTCTTGCACTTTTTGTGGGAATTTAAATTGATACAGCCACTGTGGAGAACAATATGGAGGTTCCTTAAAAAACTAAAAATAGAACTACCATATGACCCAGCAATCCCACTGCTGGGCATATACCCTGAGAAAACCATAATTCAAAAAGAGTCATGTACCACAGTGTTCCCTGCAACACTATTTACAATAGCCAGGACATGGAACAACCTAAGTGTCCATCATTGGATGTATGGATAAAGAAGATGTGGCACATATATATAATGGAATATTACTCAGCCCTAAAAAGAAATGAAACTGAGTTATTTGTAGTGAGGTGGATAGATCTAGAGTCTGTACTTCACAGAGTGAAGTAAGTCAGAAAGTGAAAAACAAATACTGTATGCTAACACATATATATGGAATCTAAAAAATAAAAAAAATAAAAAAAGGTTCTAACAAACCTAGGGACAGGACAGGAATAAAGATGCAGACATAGAGAATGAACTTGAGGACACAGGGAGGGGGAAGGGTAAGCTGGGATGAAGTGAGAGAGTGGCATTGACATATATACACTACCAAATGTAAAATAGATAGCTAGTGGGAAGCAGCTGCATAGCACAGGGAGATCAGCTCAGTGCTTTGTGACCACCTAGAGGGGTGGGGTAGGGAGGGTGGGAGGGAGACGCAAGAGGGAGGGGATTTTGGGATATATGTATACACATAGCTGATTCACTTTGTTATACAGCATAAACTAATACAACATGGTAAAGCAATTATACTCCAATAAAGATGTTTAAAAAATAAATAAATACAAAATTTAAAATAAAATTCGTGCTGGACATTCATGTGGAAATATCTAGCAAAGCACGTGAAATTCAAGTCTAGAACTCAGGAAAGAGAGCAAAATGGAAAAGATGGATGTGAGCTATAATGAGATGAGGTGAGTGCTGAGCCTCGAAGAGAGGGCTGAGCACAGGGCACTGGGAGAACCCTGTCTTAGAGGGTGGATGGAGGACAGGGTCCAGGAAAGGAGAGTAACAAGTCACAGTCAGAGATGTAGGAAGAGCTCTGGGAGAGCAAAGTGCTGTGGAAGCTGAGAGTTTCAAAAACAAAAAGATCAACAGCACAAAATGTTGTAGGTGGTACAAGTAGGGTGAAGACCAAGAAGAAACCATGGAATGTGGCAATTAGAGGTCACAGTTGAACTTCAAAAGAACAATTGCCATAGTTGATGGTGATGGCAGCTGTGCCAGTTCAGGTTTTCCAAGAAGCAGATGCCAAAACAGATTAGACATGCAAGGGATTTGGTGGTGGGGATGGGGGGTGGGGGGATTCTTGTAAGGAATAAATATAAAAAGAGGGAGCAGTATTACTGAATTCAGGTTCAGCCACTCATTGCTCAATAATCCAACACTGAGAAGCAGATGTTGGGTAAAAGGAGAGACAGCTTTATTGAGGAAGCTGGCAGTCCTGTGGAAAAGGTGGACTCATGTCCCAAAGAACCAACTCCCCATTCTCAGGCTTTGCTCATAAATTTTATAGGGAAAAGAAAAAGGGGCTACGTGCTGAGGAGAGGGTTGTGGGGGTCATGATCAATTCACAGACATTCTTCTGATTGGTTGGTGGTGAGGTAATTGGGAGTCAACATTATCAACCTTCTGGTTTCAACCAGTCTGGGATTTCCTGCTGGTGGGCAGCATGCAGTTAACTCCTTCCAACTGGTGGGGTTTCAGTATCTACAGAACAGCTCAAAGGATGTGGCTCAGAATGTTATCTATAGACCTTGAGGAGGAACTAAAGATCCTTGACTTTGTTTAATGACTAAACTATTGTTATTTTGTCTTCCTTGACTATTGTCCTTTGTTTCTGCATCTTCTTATTTCTCTGATTAAATTTATTCTTTAGAACTTGGGGAGGGCCTAGGAGGCTAAAGTTTTTCTGCAAACAAGAAGCAGGTGGAGGACATGGCTGGTGTCTGTTCCAAAAAGTCCCCACAGGGTCCTGCTCCATTACAGCAGAAGCAGGCAAGGAGGGCCCACAGACCAAGACACAGGTGTGAATCCTGTGACAGGAGGAAGGGAAGGAAGGGGTGGGCAGGAAGACCCTCTGCTGTAGTGCACTGCTGAAGACTCTGCAGCCGGGCGATGGGGAAGCCCTGAGCAAACCCCTCATTGAGAAATCCCACATCAGGTGGGGTTTGTCATCAGGGGAACCTGTCGTGTCAGGCAGTGCTGGGAGCAGCCCAGAGGACAGGTGGCCTCTGCGTTGGGGTGGGGCGGGGGGGGAATGGATTCTGTCCACTAACCTCTCTCCCCGCAGTGGGTTCTCTTGAAGAGGGTGCATTTCCCTGGCATCATAGAAGCCAAATGAGTGATCCTGAGAAGGAAGTAGAAACCCTGATACTCGGTCTAAGCTGTTCCTCTTTGTCTACACGGCACTGACCGAAAGAGACACAAGCAGTTTAGCAGGCAGGCAAAGCCTGGTAAGGATTCCACCAAAAGCAATCACAGAAACCAGTAACTAAGTGACGGCCAAGGTCACACAGTTTCGTGGAAGTGCTGAGACTCCATCATTCTTTGCTCTGCATCCCTGTCTCCCTCCTCAAACCCTGCACTCTCCCGACCACTGTCCAGTGCATCCAGCGTTCAGCCCATCACCATTTATGCCCCGCATGTGCGGTTGCCTCTGGTGTTTCCCGTGGTGGGGTTTCCAAGGATCTTGTTACCTCTATTTCTCTGGTGAAAGTATGACATTTAAGAGCTTAAGTGAACAAGCCATAGGAAAGCCAGCTCTCCCTGTGCCTGGTGGAGGAGGCCTGAGGATGATGCCTTTGCAGGGGCTCTGACCAGGGGTCTCGGGAAGCGTGCCCAGGTGTGGAGACATTCCCACCTATAATACCCCGAGTGGCCCATTGCATGGGCACAGGGCCAGCCAGCACCTGCTGACCAAGTGAAGAGCCCACCTAACCCTCTGTGTTTCCTTCCAGGTGACCTCATCCACTTGCCTCCATACCTTCGAATGGACTTCTTGTTGAATCGAAGTGGTCCAGGCGCCAGCAGGGACCCGAGTTTAGGGCAGGCATGCTTGGAGCCCCAGAAAAGTCGGACCCTGAAACGCCCCCCGGTCCTCGAGCCCATCCCCATGGAGGCTGCCTCCTCCACGGCCTCCACGAGGGACGGACAGCAGTGGCAGCAGGGGGCCGTGGCCACATTACCTCAGCGGGAGGGGGTGGAGCTGGGACAGGCAGCCAAGATGAGCAGCTCCCAGGAATCCCTGCTGGACTCTCGGGGCCATTTGAAAGGCAGCAATCCCTACACCAAGTCCTACACCCTGGTATAACCAACAGCATGACTGGACAGCGGTTGTAAATACGGTTTAAAAAATTCAATCAAAGCTACCTTTTTTTTACAGAATTCCAATATTTATAATGAAAGAAAATTGCCAAAATATATTAAAAAAAAAAAAGAGAGAGAGAGAGAAAATACTGAAAAAAACCACAGACAGTGCAAAGACTCTCCTGCTGTTTTTCTGTCTGAGTGTGAGCTCCATCTGCCTGGGCATCTGATTTTTTGGGAAAGAAGTCCAGTTTTATGATCTTCACGGGCTATTGCATTTTTACTGATTTTCTACAATGTGCATGCGGGACACATTCAACCTTCTGACTGGAAGTTCTATCACACAAGATTCAAGAAAGAAAACAGGAAAAAAAAATTACCTTCTTTGTGAATTTAAAAGGAACCTTGATTTGGGGACCGGGGGAAACATTAGTCATGTTTGCACACCTTTCTTTCCCATTAGAAATTGGGTCCTTGATTTGACCTCCTTCTGTTGTTACTTAGGGTGAGTGCCGTCAGTGAAGGGGTGGGGGGAATCAATTTGGTTTTCTTTTTTGTTTATTTTTTAAGTTAATGAGACACTCTTTGCATTTTGTCTAAGTGAAATAAAAAAAGAAAAGGTGGTCTGCCTTTATTTCGATGTCTACTTCTCTTGTCTCCTATTGATTGCTGGGTCCTCCTTCCTAGGGGTGCTTGTGTTTGCAAACACCAGGGCTGAATCAAGGCCGCAAGTTAATAAACCAGCGAGGATTCTGAGAGTCTGACCTCCCCAGGATAGAGGGGAAGGACACAGAAGATGCAGCAGGTCTGAGTTTTAATGAGGGGCTGGCCAGGTATTCTAAGCCCCTTCATATGCTCTGCTCTTTGCCTCCCAATGACACCTGGCCCTCTAGCTGGACTCGGGGTCAGAAAACTATGACCCACGGGACAAATCCAGCCCACTGCTGTATTTCCCTATAAAGTTGTATTGGAACGCAGCCGTGCACACCATGTGCATTTCGTCCATGGCTGTTTCATGCCATGATGGCAGGGGTGAGTAATTACAACAGAGGCGGTAGGGCCAGCAAAGCTGGAACTGTTCACCATCTGGCTTTTTCCAGAAAACGTTCGCAGACCCCTACTCTAGAGCCCCACCATCAGCCCCAGCTCACTGGAGTCAGGAAGGTTGGACCAGGAGAAGTCTGTGCATCCTGTCCTCAGGGACCTGTCCTGCCACCACCATAACCAGTATCTAAATGTGCAGTAGACCATCTTACTGTCTGCTCCTCTGACTCACTCCTCTGCACCCAGAGAAAACGAGTCGAGAGTAAGTGATGTTCCTCTGAAATCTTTGTTTTTCTTCCTCTCAGTTTATATTATTTTCCATGTGGCTCATCCTAACAGAGCACTTATTCTTAAATAGTATGAATTGTGTTCTCCTTCCCATGACCCTTACATAGTACACCTTAGAAAGCCCCCCCAACTCCCCATTCCAGCCTCTCTTAGGTCTCATGTCAGAGGTTTGGCATTCACCAGAAAACTTGGTCAAATGCTCAGAGCTGCTCAGTTGCCAAGGTAGCAGACTGTACAAATACATCCACTCCCTTAATACTCCCTACAGGCTCCCCTTTAAGCCACAAGCCTAGGCTGGTGTCAGCCATTGCCATCTGAGAACATGTTCAGAAATTTCTTTCCTGTTCTGCCTCCTTCTGTCCTTCTGTCCCTCCCTCTTTCCTTCCTTCTCTCCTTCCCTTCTTCCATCCATCTTTTCCATCATTCCTTCCTTCCATTTACTTTCCAGGCAAGCCCATTTGCCTACTTAGATTCTGTGATACCGAGCATCTGCAGAGCAGATCCAGGACCACATCAGGACCACCTGCTGGTCCTGACATTAGGTGACTTCCTGGATGTGAAATGCTTGTTTCTTGCCGTGGTTTCAAACTTTAACCCATGTTGACAGTTTGTTGTTGGCATCTCCACAGACTGCTTTTTTTTTTTTTTTTAATTCAAAGAAATGAAATGCTACTTTCTGGGAAAAAATAAAATTAAGGCTCTATTGTTCATCAACCTAAAACTTACTATATCCCCCAAACTTAGAAGTTTACATTTTTAAAAAATTTTTGTCTCAAGATGTGCAAAAATAAAAAATTCCACATCATGTCTGCCTCTGGAATGGATTGCTTTCAATAATACTGCCTTGGAAATGCTCATTAAAATGAGTTCAACACATAAGCACTGTATCAAAAAGTTCACCCTACCCCTCAGGTAGGAGCCTGGTGTTAATATCTACAAAGAGACCCAGATGAAAGGGGTCTCTGTGGATTAAAAAGTCCATTATTGAGAGGAGTGATCATTTTCCTCTGGACTTCTGCCCATCTCTAATCTGATTTATAATGCCTTCCAGAGGTCACCTTACTAGCCTAAGTCTGCAGCCAGGTTGATGTAGCTTGGAGTGGTGAAGCTCAGATAAATTCTTTATCCTCCAGCCAAAAAACTCTAGGGTCAATGGACAATCGCTATTGGGTCAACGGACTGGGTTTCCTCTGAGGCATCCACCTGGCTGGCAGCCTGAAAGACGTTCTCCTTCCTAAAGTGAGCAAGGTCTTCTGTTGCTGCACAGCCAGGGTACAGCACTGAGCACGTGCACACCCACGGGAACCCTAGAGCTTCCACCTGGGTCACTGCCTGGTACTCACCTCTGCTGTGCTACCCACAAAGAGAAGAGGCTGGAGAAGGGAGGTGGGGAGAGATGGAAGAGCGAGATGGTCTTAAATCTGATCGCTCAGAGAATCTCGATAATATCTTAAGACAAAGAAAACACACTGTTGCTTAATCTGCTTTTAATATAAGTGGTAGATCACCACCCAGGAAAGATCCCTCTGACCTGGGACGTTGATGCCTCATATGCCAAAATCTTCATGTGACTTTTAAGGAAATGGCTGAGGCCTTCCAGAGAAGCGGTGAACTCTGTACATCTATTTCCAGCAACAGTAGACAGTGTGTGCAGCCTCCAGGCACTGGACTGGGACCAGGAATCCGAGGACTGGTTCACTATAGTCACCTATTCTGCAGAGGTTTAAAGAGAGCTCACAGTATGTCCACATTCAGATGGCATCTTTGTCCAAAGAATGTGACTCAGAGAACATCATCGGAAGGTCGCCTGGGAAGATTGTGTCAACAATTTAATATCCAAGGCTCTTGAGCTCCGCGTTTGTTTTCCACCCATTGGCCCAAAATGACCTGTCAAACAGAGGCAGACGGTTCATCTTCTCATTGAAGCCCTCCCTGAATACCCTATGTAACACCACATTCTGTCCCTCTCCTGGCGTTCCTGCGCCCCTATACCTTCTGTGCTCTCTATTCATATCCTTAACATCTTCTAACTGCCCGCATAATTTGCTTATCATGGCTACTGTTCATTATCTGTCTTCTCTCACTGGAATGTCGGCTCCATGAGGGCAGAACTCTTTGTCCTGTCCATTGCATCCGCAGTTCTTAGAACAGAAGAAGCTGGCCCATAGTAGGCATCTTATAAATATTTGTTCAGTTGGAAACAAATGGGTGGGGTTTCCTAAGCTCAGGGTTCCTCAGCAGTGACACAAACCCCCTGAGTGCGCAAGGGCCACCTAGCTGCTCTGCATCACCCATGGGCCTGGGGGCGCAGGGGGGCCGATGGGAACGTGGCACTCATGCCGACTGCTGGGCCATGAGTAACATCATGCTGAGTTTCTGCCAGCATCCACGGAACCCTGGAGGCCAACCCATTACCCTTCGAGTATGGTAAAAATCTGAGCCCCTCTACTGCTCTTGACAGTAATTAGACCTGGCAGCACCAGCCCCTCCTCCACCCTCTGGCAGGACTAGTTACAGCTTAGACTTCTGGGTGTGATCCACTTACAATCTTTTACAGTTTGATGGGGATTTTTTTCTTTCCTCTTCTCAATCTCTCACTTTTCAGAAAGAACGAGAAAAAACTTGGGAAAAGTCACTTTGAGCACATGGCAAGGGGTACATGTTTCATCTCCCAAGACAAGCTTGGCAAAGCCAGAAAGCTCTTTGTGTCCCAGAAACTTCAAACCAGCTATAGGGAGAAAAGGCAATGTTTATCCTTTCTGGCATCATGCCTCCCCAGAGGGGCTGTGCTCTGCCTCAAAGAGATAGCCCTTCCTCGGAGAAGAAAACAACTGGGATATACATTCATGTTTATGTCTGGGGAAGATACTGAGAAGGGTCCTGGAGGATAGCAGGGCCTGGGGCCAGACCAGCACTTGGGTGAGTACCGGGTCCACCCAGGCATCATGATCAGAGGGAAGATGGCATTTCCAACTGTGCTGTGTTCTGCTCTCAAAGAGTTAATTCAGCTTTTGCCTCAATCTCTCACCTTCTGAGGTTTCCCTAAGGGCACAGTGCCTCCCTAAATAGAGGGGACCTCCTCTTGCCACGCTATGGAGAAATACATTAGCAGTCTCTTTAAAAGACACTTCCTGTTTCTAGATATGAAATTATAAGTGTCTTATAAGGTGGTGACTTCTGAGCTGGGGAAGTGATGGTGCTGGGTGCTGACCCTGCATCCAGCCCCCAGGTAGGTGGAAAATGAGGATCCTTGCCCTGAACAAGAGTACAATTCTCTGTGCAACCATTGTGCCCACACTTGGCACCGCACACATCAGACACACCCATACGCCATGCCAACAACCTCCAGCATCTGTCTCCCCATCCAACGTGAGAGGTTGCTCTGCCATTGCCCAGGAAGGTGACCTGATGACAGTCTCAAGAGATGCACTCTGCTGGGACAAAGCCAAGGACAAGCCAAGTAAAGATGCATACATCTGAACCGATTGAATTTCAAGGAACTGTTAGCCCAACGCTGTACCTATTCCTCTGATGGCTTAGCCACCTGACAAGAGAACATTCCTGTCCCACTGAAACTACTTACCTTCCCTTTTAAACTCTTTCATGATCTTCAGTTTAGTGGATCTTAGTGAATGACGTTCAGCCCACTTATGAGGGAGTTAACCCTCACCATCAAGGTGCCTTTCTTTCCTTTAGGAGGAGTAGGAGTCTTTTGCATCAAGCCAAGCGTAATGAAGATGCTTCCAACAAGGGCTCCCAGAGCCCCCAGAAGGGGACATTCTTATGGCTCTGATCC